CGGACCTGGCCTAGGACTGGGTCTGGGGGTTCCCGGAAGTTGGCAGAAATTCCTACTCGGCGGGAGGGGTGGGGGAGGTACGGCGGAGTGGTGGGGGGCGGCCCGAGGGGGTGGGAGAGGGTCCGGCCTACGCTGCGCCTGGGCTGGGACTGGTCCCGACGGCGCAGGGTAGCAGGAAGCTCTCCACACACTCACTGGACCTGGGCTAGGACTGGGTCTCAGGACATGAGCTTTTCATGGTTACTAGCACATGTACAATTACCTTCCTGAGGGGATAAAACAGAATCTCTCCAATTCACAGTGTATTATTCATTTAAATTATGGAGCATAACTCTTAACACAAATTCATTTCTCATATCTCTAAATTTGATGATAATAAATATTTTCATTATTTTCAATCTGAATAATGAGAATGAAATGGTATGACTTAAATTTCCAACTGTAAAACTATAAGAAGTTCCTAAGCACTAACCATCTGATCCTCTTTTTCCCACTGATTCTTCAGATACTCGAAATGTGAGTCCTCGCCACGTGTTGTATGTGTCCGCATTCAGACTGCTGCTCATCTCCTGTACTCTCCCTAGACTGCAAAGCTGTTTTTAAAATGAATTAATTTTTGGTGCTGAGATCAAACCAGGGCTCTGTACATGGTAGGAAGCACCCGACCACTCAGCCACTGTACTTTAAGATTGAAAGTTTCAAATATATCATTATTTATGAAGTCCTGCTCAGTGCTGGGATTATAAAAACATTCACCTTTACTTTCCTCAAATTATCTACATGATTCTGAAATTGCCTTGTGAATACTCTGAGACTGGAATCAAACTCTGGCCCGAACTGAAGTCTCACTTTGTATTTCACTTAATAGCACTACGTAGTAACACAGTTATTTTCTCCAGTGATTTGCAGCCTTCCTCGGCCCACTGCCAGTTTCCCACATAAAGCGGCTCTTCGTGGACTTTCTGAACTCTGCGCTCCGATCAGTGTCAACTTCCCCACCGATATCACGCAGCCGCACTACAGCCTGCTGTCTGACTCTCTGAATTCTTTAAGTGCTGTCTGGCTAGGCTAACCCCTTCAGGTTTTTACTTTTAGGACTGTCTTTACTATACTTAGGCTTTTGCTTTTCCACATAAATTTAGCAATAAGTCTGTCATGTTCCATTTTTTAAAAAGTCCTTTTAGAATTTGGGTTAGTCATAATAAATTTATCAATTAATTTTGGAGAAAACTAACTTATGAGTCTTCTTCCCATTCATGAAGAAAAGAGACACGCTTTCACTTATTCAAGGATCTTAAACGTCTTTCAGCCACGTGTCACAAGCTCCCCGCGAGGCTCCGTGCAGTCTCTGCTGTGGACGCTCCCAGGCGCGCTGCACTCTTTCACGGCACGGTACACGCTGCCACAGACTCTCCCGCTGGCTACTGGTGAGCGCGACGCGACGCTGCCTCTTACAGGCTGAGCCTTTGCTTCAGTCCGCTGCTCAACCGCTGGCAGTGCTGGGAGTCTGCACACGTGGGGGGAAAGCCTCGCTGCTTGCACAATGACAGTGCCAGCCTCCTGTCCAACTCTTATGTTCACTTCCGACCTCATGGCACCCGCTAGCCGCCAGCACAAAGCGGGTGGTAGTTGTGATGGCAGATATCTCTGCTACGCCTTACTTTAATAAAAGGCAAGGTTTTACATTTTCACGTCTAAGCATAATTTTGGATAGTTCTTTAAGAAATACAATGTATACTATGAAATTAAGAATAGCTGATTAAATTCCTTTGTTAAACAAGACTTAATTGTGAATGGATATTAAATTCTGCCCATGGGTTACAGAGATAATCTCTCCTGTGCTTATATAATAAATGTTTAATAGTACTACATTTTATTTCCTAACACTTTACTAAATATTCTTACTTAGATGACTTACTGGATTCTATGGTTTCACAAGTATGCTAAAAGTTTTTCCGTAAGAGCTGGCCAAATAGCTCAGCAGATTAAAGCGCCTGCTTAGGCAGACACAGGGGCCAGGAGTTCGAGTCCTGGACCTGATGCCAGCCCTGACCCTGGGACGAGCTGAGACACTGATTGAGACAGTGACTGAGACAGCCTGGTGGCATGCACCTGTAATCCCAGCCCTTGGGAGGCTGAAAACAGGAGGATCACTACAAGTCCAATCTATGCAGTGAGACCCCGTAGACCCTGTCCTAAATATAAAAAAAAAGTTTTTCCTATCAAATAATACTGTTCTATTCAGTAATGAGCTGTTGGTAGAACTGTAGTTTATTCTGCATAAAGTACACTTAATTACACAGGATTAATCATAAGATAGTTTTTCTCTTTAAAGATAATCCAATCACTACACAGAACAATACAATTTGTTTTACTATAATTGGCTAAAATGGGGTCTGTAAATTACACAAACCTCTTTAACTTTTTCCCATGATTTAAATGCATTGGTCAGGGGGCGTGGGAGATGGCTCAGTGGAATAAGCGCTTCCCTGGCAAGTGCAAGGGCCTGAGTTCAATACCCTGTTCCGCCAAAAAATAAATAAATAAAATAAAATAAAATAAAATAAAATAAATGCATTGGTCAGGGCTGGCCAGACAGCTCAGTGGATTAAAATGCCTGCTTAGGCAGACGCAGACTCAGGGGCTGGGGTTCCAGCGTGCCATAACCTTCAACCCCCACCCCCGCGCTGAGACAGCATCTGAGACTGGTCATGGTGACACACGCCTGTAATCCCAGCACTTGGGAGGCTGAAAACAGGAGGATCACTATGAGTCCGATCTGTGTAGTGAGACCCTGTAGACCTGGTATTAAATACATTAAAAGAAAAAAAAAAAAGGAATTGTCTACTTGATTTAGATACTATGCCTATCTGTAAGGTATATGTAGGGGACGGGGAGATGGCTCAGTGGAATAAGCGCTTCCCTGACAAGCGCAAGGGCCTGAGTTCAATACCTGGTTCCACCAAACAAAACAAACAAACAAACAACAACAACAAAAAAAAAAACAAAGTGCAGGTGTAAGGTATATGTACTTTTTTCAGTTGGCATAAGACAAAGATCCTTTTTATCTCGCTAACTACCATGTGTACTCATTAGAAACTGTTTCCTTTAACAACACTACCTCCACATTATCACAAAGACAAAGTCATAACAATCTAGAAATCTACTATTTAATCTCAAGCAAAGAGCAATACTACCTTAAATTTTGGTTCATACAGCAAATCAAAACAACAGCATAAAAGCAGAAAGCATACTTGAAATCCACTGCCAATCCTAAAAACACAAATATGTCCAATTTTTTTTTCATTTTAACCTTTGAACTTTTGTGTGTGTGTGTGTGCACTGAGCTACACCCTCAGCCTTTTCTGAACTTTTTTATTAACAAAATTAACAAAGTTTTTTGCCAAGTCTCTACACTGGGCTTAAACCCCTGATATTCCTGTCTCAGCTTCCCAGAATATAAGAATTAGAGTGTTCATCATCATACTTTGCTTACAACTTTAAAACTGTCAGTTTGTGGGCTGAGGCAATAGCTCAGTGGTCTAAGCGCCTGCTTGGCAAGCACAAGGACCTGTGTTCGATCCCTGGTACCACATGCCATGCTGGCCCCGTGGCAGTGCACACCTGTTATCCCAGCACTGGGGAAGCTGAGACAGGAGGATCACTGAGTCTGAGCTGCATCAGAGACCCTGTACCAAATAAATAAATACAAGATTAAATAAAACCCAACAAATTTAGGGGCCAGTGAAATAGCTCAGCGGTCTACAGTGCCAGCTTAGGCAAGTTTAGGCAAAACGCACAGGGACCACAGTTGGATCCTTGGCACCACATGCCTCGCCAGTGCCACTCTGGGGGTGGGCTGAGCCGGCCACAAAAAACAAACAGAAAACCCCCACAAATTTAAAAGATAAAGAAAAACCAAACTGTCAGTTTAAGTGTTCCCCAATATTCTCAAGGCTCCAATAATCCCACCAAAAACTTGTGAAAGATTTCACACCTACAGAAGATGGAGGGACTGTGCCATAGAGTATAAGGAGCACCAGCGTTTCCTCTGCTGCACTCGCTTTCTCCTTAAACACAGATACTCCCTGTAGTTTTCTGCTATGATGATGACGATGATGATGATTTAAGATGGGTCTTGCTATGTAGTTCTGGCTGGTCCTGAACTTGCCATGTAGCCCAGGCCCACCTTGAACTCACGGTGAGCCACTTGCCTCAGCCTCCTGAGTGCTGGGAATACAGGTGTGCTTCACCGTGCCCAGCTCGCTCTTTAAATATACAAGTGGGGGCCTGGCCCTAGCTCAGGCCTTTAAGTGGCTGCTTCCACAAAGCTGTCAGCCTCAGGTTGCTGGAGTTCGAACCTCACACCTCTCCC